GCCAGGACCCGATAAACGTCCTGGGCCGCCCCAATTTTTTTTTTGATTTTTGCCCCAGAGGCCTCAATCCAGACATATTGTCCAGACACCGGACACCGGACACCGGACACCAGACACCGGACACCAGACACCGGACACCGGACTGTCTGGAACCCGGTCCAGACGTCCGGGCGGTTACCATGATCTTACCCCTCACTGACACCTCGACATGCTGCCAATTTTTCCCATGAAACCACAGTAACAGCCGTTGTACAGCATGCTTCACAACGTCATGGGGAACGCGAGAGAACATCTCCTTGATGTCATAGCACCTCCCCAGAGGTGCTACACATCCGGACCTCCTCAGGCAGTCATTCGCTCTAGCCAACTTATCCCGAAGCGCCTGAACCGCACTCAGATGAAAGTTCAGGTCACTTGGGGATCTCATCAGTAGGAAATACAGAGCCCTAGCGCCCCTCCTTTAGGCTATCGCAGCCGGGTCCGTGCAGGCAGACGCTATAGGGCGCCACCTACCCAAATCAGCTTCCTTAGGAATAACGTACGGTTTCCCCAATCTGCCTCCGACATTCCATCTTCCCAAAATGTGTGAGCCTGTCTCTTGAAACCTGGCTTTACTTACCGCCGACATTCTCTTCTCCTCACTTTCGCACATCTCATATCGCGGGATTCCAAGTAAAGGTTTTCCCAAACCCGAACCTGTACAGTACTGGACATATGACCCCTGTGTCGCCCACGTTGTGGGCGATTGGTGCTAAAACTAGCCCTTGGAAGCGTTTTGCCCATCCACTTACCTGAGCGTCTGATCAAGCTGCTACTTCCGTCTGCTTGCTACCAAGGCATTCCGTGACATCTGGTAGCCCGCAAGGGGCTTTCCTCAAATGGGCCGTAGCTTGGAGTATGCCCTCTTGGATGTCTCTCCTGCTTGTCGAGTAATTCCGTCTAGTCACATTCTTGGAATTCAATGATGATATCTCAAGGCTGTCCCTTAAAAAAAGAAAAAAAAAGGAAAAAAAAAAAAAAAAGTAGAACTGTTAGGTCATCCGCAAAGAGGATAGTTACTGGGATAGTAAGGAGATGGCCTTGCTTGATATCGAGACCCATAAGCCATTCAATGGATGGGTCTCTTTGGAGGCAGTAGGCTATAGCCTCCATGATACACAGAAATATGCCGAGCTGCTAATGGATCGCCCTGTCTGACTGATCTTGACATTTTGTACAAGGCCGAGAGGCGGCCTGACCATTAGCTTCTACTGGTCTGTGTGCGTCATTATCGAGGATTCTTACCCGGTTCCTGACGTAAGGTCCAAGTTATTGCAGGTCACTCCTATCTTTTCTATACATTGCTGTTGTCATCACTCCTATCTGTTATTGCAGGTGTCTCCTTAAAAAAAAAAAAAAAAAAAAAAAAAAAAA